CCCCTTCCCACCACTTTGTGCCTGGCGTGTTAGACCTGGGCCCGTCGTCGAAATGACCCGCTACACCTGTGTGCCTCCTGACTATCGTTCCCGCATGGTCGACAAGGAGAGCGGGGTGGTTCGACCGCTATTCTAAGAACGGGATTATGACGGAACGAGGAGTTGGTAGATACCCATTATCTGCATAGACAGACAACTTTTTTTTTTCTTTTCAAGACTTGCGTGTGTTTTCCATTATTTTTTCCTTTGAGAGGGGGCTGCTTTTGCCTGTATTGCTCATTACCATTGCCTTCCCATGGTCAATTGTCAGTCTGGCTGATCGAGGAGATCCAAGTTGAACCAAGGGCTTTGTTGAACCGATTTCCCGGTCATTGCCGTCTGGTTAATCTTCGCTGTTCTCACTCTTTTTGTTGCCCCTCTCTTGGGGATGCAGTCCATTACTTGGACACAAGGAAATTGAACTGTTGTTCAGTGTCACGTTCCAGCTGATGCAGCAACTTTGAGTAAATTATAGAAGTCTTAATGTTAATCTAGCAGGTTAGTTTAAGAGGGTGGAATTTCACATTGTGAATCAATCAATCAACAAAAACAATAGATTAGATCTATCAAAGATCGCTATGTCTGAAAAGAAAAACTTCCCTAGGCCAGGGGTATAAAGCACAATCAGTCCAAAGGCGTAAAATCAAGATCTCACAACTCAATCAAGATCAAATCCCAAAAATGTACAAAACATCCACTCTGTCTAGCCAAGAACGCTTGTCCAGCTTGACCATCCAGACTGTGGAATCAACTCTACGAGATATCCCGAAACAGAAAAAGAAGAGAAAGCACAGCAGCCAGCTGGCAAGTAAGCAAGCTACAGCTCTCTTACAGGAATGCGGTCATCCGCAACTCGCATGCGCAGGAAAATTGCCACAGCCCAATCCCAAAGCTTGCGAGTGATGACGAAGACAGGCACTTCTGGTTCGTTTTCACGGGTCAGATGCAGCTGCATGAGGAGTGAGGACATGCTTAGGAAGCTTGCGACGGAAACGACTAGTAGCGATGCTGCTGTTTCACGTTTTATGGTTGCATGGTTTTGCGTTGCGTGGTAGACAAAGGTTAAAGACTATATAAAGGGTCAGTGGCTATTGTGTCGTAGATCAACAATTGGAACCGGGATAACGCACGGTTGTTATGGAGATCCAAGCTGGTAAAAGGAGTCGAGGGTCAGAGGATGCACCAGATAGATAAAGGACCCAAGAAGTGATATATGCAATCAGGCCATTAGTTGTTAGAAGACGGATCACAACAGCTGGTGGGGTGTAATTTAGAAGCCTGAGTAGACCACAGATTAGCATTAGGGACGACAGTGGGACGTCCAAGGAAGGAGAAACCAACCATCGAGACATCATGCAATCAGCAAAGAAGTAGGAAAGATATGCAGATGCACAGCACTGTCAAGTAGTCAGTAAATGAGCACACGGCTGAACACGAGCAAGTAGTATTTCAAAAAGAATATACGCCCACATATCAAGGCGGGAAAATCACTCACCCACATAATAGCCAATGCCACCTCCGTCACCCGGAACCTCCTCTCAACATCCCATTCCTGTCCAACACTACCAACTATCGCCGCCGCCCACCCCTCTCGTCCCATGCCCGGCCTTATGTGCAGCAACTCAGCGAGGAAAGTAAAGGCGCATCGCAAACCCCACCAGGCAGCAGGAAGCGTGCTCAGAGCCCGACATACTAGCAGGGGAATATGCCATCTGCGGTCTACCCCGAGGATTACAGCAACGCGGGGGTGCAGTGCTGACGGAGGGCCATCGCTGCTGAGTGGGGTATGGGACGGAGAGGAAGTCGGGGAAGCCGGGACAGTCGAAGCAGATGGAGAAGCCACCTCTTTAGCCAGCCGGCTTTGTAGTAGTTCAGGGGAAGAGAAGTAGCCCGGCTGAAGAGCTGATCGCGCAAGATTCAGGTCTGGACCGAGCTGTAAAAGTTGGTGTGGATAGCCGTGGGGAGTGTATGGTGGAGGAGAAGCATTACGTCGAGAAGGAGCCAGCCTTTATTCTGAATCACGGCAAATGCGGCCGCCACGCAAGGAATTGAAGGGTTGTAGTATGGGCGTTGCGATCGAGTCGTTCGCTCTCGATAAGATTCAAAATTGGGTTGTTGTCAAGCTGTCTGTGAGTCCCCTAATTGGCAGACATTAGACCCAGTGCGTGGCGGGCGGTGTCTTTTTTCCGAAGGCAGTTTATAGTTCTATACTTTCAACTTCTTTTTCCATCTGACTGTGTTATTTAAGAAATTGCGAAGAAGATACAAGCAGTCGCCTCGATAAGAGGGTGCTTTGTTCATAAGAATCCCCCGGCCACTTGTTGCTGACCTGCGGAGTGATTCACGTGACTGTTCCGCGGATTTCTGTTCGTCGGCCCGGAACCACTTCTCTTGATCAATCCGGTTCGCAATGGCGTCTACCCTACGAGTTCCCGCGGGCACATCCGCTCGGATTGTACCATCTGGTTTCTTCGTCCAATGCCGGGCCTTCTCCGAGACCTCCCAACAATGGCGTGGGAGACAAATGAACTTCCGACCTCCAAGCCAAGTGCAGCCGTCCTTCAAAACCAGAACCCAGGGCATGAAGCTAGCCGATCTGCCAAATGATATCGGCATATTACCAGGTACCTTCGTCCGTCCATTGTGGAGGGATATGCCTTCGCTTTTCAAGGCACCGCGCGATAGATGGCATATGGAATGGACGTGGCTCAAGGCCTGGTTGAGCAACCACGCCAGGTCAGTTCTCCCCGAATCCTCGGAATATCCGGGGCTCTATTGCTCTGTTATCGGTCACGTTGAAGAACTAGAGCGGGATATACCATACAAATTTGCGAAGATTATCTTTTCTAACTGTACTGCAGTCTGCTCCAATACTGCAAGCGCGAAAACACCCTCCCTCTTCTCCTGCGCAAGCGTCGCCACTTCGCCGCAAAGCTCCAGGAGGAAATGTATACAGCGTTTGCGGAGTAAGCATGCGCCATTTCCCCATTCTTTTTTGAACGGGACTAACAACTATGAATGGTTACAGAGGCAACACTCCTAAAATCCGCCAGATCTGCTGCGACGGTCTCGTCAAGCAACTCAGCACAGGTATCGAACGCCGCCCAAAAAATGAGCAAGTGACCTGGAAACTGGTGAAGTACCTGCGTAAGCCAAGCACAAACTTCACTGGCCTCCGTGTTATCTCAGATCGCGCGACATCCATCCCCGATATCCCGAAATCCGGCATTCGTCAGATTGTCGTGCGCATCACCAGCCGACAGTCCACAACCACGACTCGGGTCCAAAATGCCAATGGAAAGGGACCTATGGAAGATACCACCGTTTCCGCCAAGCAGCAGGACTGTGTCGAGCACATTGTCATTCAGCATCTCCGCTGGAATGACCAGGACAAGGGCTGGAAAGTCTGGGGCCACATCAGTCCCACCTCATTGCATGAGGCTTGGACCAATCCCTACTTCATGCCTGGCTTGTCGGCCCTCGAGCGTCTGGATATGATCAAGGACTCGATGGGCCAGAAATAAACTCGAGTTGCATCCCAAATTGCGACTTGTGCTTTTTTCAGTTTGAATCACATACTCTGCACCTCTGGGCTCTCCATCATTTGGAGACTGCAGCTGCAAGATTCGCACTAGGAAATCAAATTCCGGGCGAGACTACATGTCTTCCAATGGCTTTTGACCTGCCTTCTTACCAAATCAGCAGCGAATGGGTTTGACACAGTATCTTTTATTTCCCTTACTTGTCTTACGTCTTGTTTAGCAACGCCTTATCTTGGGCCTAACCCTGAACCGAGGCTCGGGTCAGCTTCTTTCTGGTCTGTTTTCTTCCCTTGACGCGGGAAACCCCTGATATAGAAGCATTTACACCTCTCATGTACCATAGCCACCTGTTCTGATAAAATTCTACCTTTCCTTTGAGCCGTTACTTGTATAAATGAATATCAATGTCTCAGAGTGTCCTTCCACGATCTATCATCACTTCCCCTAACACGATGTGCTCTCAAGTTTCATACTTCATTGGAATCATTGCCTTGGTCCTTGAGCAAAAGCCCTTTAAAAAACGTGAAAGGGAGAATATCACAAAGAGTCATGCCAACTCGCTAATCTTGGGGCGTTTAATTGCGGGCAGTATATTGTGTCCTCATTAACAATCAATTGCCAAAAAGGCCAATGTGTGCCACATCTTAACCTTGCACCTTTGGTGACGATTATACGTTGTTCATGACCGGGTAAATTTAAAACTAAAATGACTAGGCAGTACATATGTATTTATGTGTACAGTCGGGCACAAAGGCACAAAATTAATGTGTAGCACAGGCATCACTCCGAGAAAATCCTGGGACACACAGGAACAAGAGGTGCGAATAGATAAAGAAGAGGTTCAGAAGAGCACTGGGAAGAGATGCATCAAGATCATCATACGAGGGTCCGCGGACCAACGCTCATGTTCACATAAACAAGACAAGAAAGATACTAGGAACGGACCGGGGCGAATGGATCAGTCATCGTCGAAGATCTGGAATGTGTTATTCAGGATCGTCTCGATGACACGAACTTGCCACCCAGCGTCGGCGATGCTGCCACCGGAATTGGCGCCCAAGAGGGTTGGTCTATACCGAGAATTAGCGGGTCTGTGTCTGGTGACATCTCTGTTTACATAGTATATGGGGATTGCAAGGACATACCCGAAACAAATGGCCAGATTTCCCGCGTTCATGCGGTTCTGGGTATAGTGTTCTTGGATCTTATTGAGATGCTGCAATGGACTGGATCAGTACATGGGTGGACACAAAGACTGCGGTTCATGTTGGGGATCATACCAAAATGATGGCCCGCAGAGTGGCATAGTGGGCATCAGGCAAACTATTAATCAGGGCATGCATCGAGTCTCGGCGCTGGATGTCATCGTCGAAGCCTGCGGTTTCATTGTCAGTTTCTCGACACAGGATGATCTACTCTCTCCATGATGTGAACACTACTTACGAGCAGCATCAACAAACTGTTGGTAGAACTGAGTGGTGAACAGAGGATCAGGTAGGTCTCGGAAGAATTGCTTCACAAGTCCTGCAACGCTGTTGACATCATGGTAAAAACTCTCCGGGTTTGTGAAGTCGACTTGCGATGAGTCTATTAATAGGTTTAGCAGGCCCACCCATATTTCCTCAGGTGTCTGATCAAGCTTACCATTGTCGAACAATGCTTTCATGTGACTGATGTGGTTGGCACTACCGGAGAGTCGATAGATGCCCTCCACATCCAGACCGAACAATTCAACCGCTTGGAAGCACTGGTACACAATGAAAGGAACTGCTGTTCCATCCCGGGCGTACAGGTCGTTTAGCGAAACACCGAACACTGGCCTCAGCGGAGGGAGATTTGATTGCAAATTCCTGTCCACTGGGGGAGGTCCTGCTATTGGGAGCGGGATCTTAGGTGCGGGTTCCGGAGCAGGCGGTCCTGAGACAAGGTAGAGAGGTGTGCTGGCTGGGGGCGGAGTGAAGGTGTTCTCAGCGGGATAAGGTGGTTGCGGTAATCGGTCACCGCTTTGCGGAGGTTGAAGCGCTGGGGAAGAGATATTAGTCGAGAAGAATGCCAGCGGCATGATTGACACACGCTTATTTTGGGTGCTTGGATGCGAAGGTGCCGCAGAAGCAGAAGTAGAAGAAACAGCCCCGGCACCACCTAGTGTCTAATCGATTTGTTAGTTATAGTGAAGCAATCGAGAGATAACGCTTGACTTACAGGGTGGCGCTCATATTTGACCTGTTCTGACGCCACGGCCCCAGGATTGCCTTCGTGGCTTAAAATAAACTCGTGGAGATCTCTCTGATTATCAACTTGGCGAATAACATCGGCAAGGCTCTTAGGTCCTGATGCCCCATCGGTCTTCAGAGGGTTGACGCAGAGACCTTGGCCTAGTAGCAGTTTCTCGTTGAAAGTAGCTGTAAACCATTAGCCGATGAACATTGAACAACAAAACCACCAGCGTGAAAATGGGATCGCATTCACCAAACTTCTGCTGTTGCAGGGTCAATCCCGAGTCGCACTCGGCTATTAACTGCTGAAGATTGTGTACAGCCTGAGGTCGGTGGGTAGACACCAGTTCCTGGCGCGCCGCCTGAGCAGCCTGAACTTTAGACCCATAGTCGGTATCCGCGTTCTGGACCTTGCGCAACAACTCCTCCTCGTGCTGCGCCGCAGACTTGTGGCCCTTAAGACCGAACTTTCCGCCCTGCTTGTCTCCCGTGCGAACACGGTCATACTGCTCCGCCAGTGACTCGTACTTAGCCTTTGCCTTCTCCGCCAGCGATTCTGCATCGACGACCTTCTTCTCCGCAGCTAAGCCGGTCTGTTTCCATTGCTTGCGGCCGCGCTCAATGTTGGCGGCGAGCTCATGCAGATCATCGGACATCTGGTGGAGGGAGACGGCGAATTGGAGGCCATGGTCGACCATTCGCTCCTGGATTCGGTGGATGTCCTTGTAGCTAGAACTGTATGTTCCTTGTCGGTTCTCGGAGCGTTGTGACGCATCGCTGATTACGCGGGACAGTTTTCTTAGCCCCTGAGCGTGCTCTTCTTCAAGGGACCCACGTTTTTTCAGGAAGGTTGAAAAATCCTAGTAGATACCGTGTCAGCGTTTACGATCGTTGTTGGAGTCCTCTTGCGACTACTAACCTTAGCGGAGGCCACGCTTTGCTTCAGCCGTGTCAGGAGTGTGGTTATGCCAATCTACTCTCGTAATTAATAAAACTTTTGCTTCTTGTTTTTTTTTAAAATTGTGCACATAGCGGAGAATTGTGTGTGCCGGCTCACATCTGAGTAGAGAACTTTATCCAGGCGGGCTTTCAGCTCATCTGAGATGGCCTCGTGGGTCGGCTGAGTCTGCTCGGCCCCGTGGCTAGGGGATGAGCGACCGGCGCTCGACGAAGGCGCATCGGAGAGCGTCGGTATCGCCGTGGATTCGCGAAGGGTGTGATCCGACATTAAAATGGCCTTGATTTGTGTGAATGTCTAGAAGGATGAAGTAGAGGGGAACGGAAAGCCTCACGGGCCACTTTATGTATTGTCGGTGGAGATGGTTTGGTGCCGATCCAAATGAGGTCAGTCCAGGAACAGGAAATGCTGTAGCCTGCCTTCAGGAGTTTCACTTGGGCTGAAAACGCTGTGGACCTATAGGAATTGTCTTTTAGCCTGGAGGTCTCTGGAATTGTTCTTGGGGTCAAGACGTAATGGCGAGTTCAGCCACACAAGTGGATCTTGGGCTTCACTTTGTGAAGTACTCCGTACGTTAGTCCTATACCCCGTACTCCGTACGGAGTAGTTTGTGCGTATTTATGTACATTACTTTATTTGTAATATGCAGTAAACATAACTTTTATTCTGGTATCGTCGCTGGGAATCAAATATCAACATTTATACAACAACACCCGCAATCGCAGTAATTGGCCTCATAAAACCGGAGGTGCGACGAAAGTGTCAGGAATGCCATCAAAGACCCAATTGAGTGAATCAAAGACTTCTGAGAAGCCAGATTCGCTGAAAAATGCTCCGCCTTCATCAAACTGAGCTGGCATAATCAGAGATTGATCCTCCAGGGAGCTATCCTGCTGCCGCGTCATGTGTCCTGCCGGACCTAGTATATCTTGGTTCGCCGCTATGGCAGCCGCTGTTTAAAAGACTATGTTAAAAACTAGGTGAACAAGTTTTACGGGGGGGAAAAGCAAAGGAATCTTACCTTGCATTTCTTCGAGGCTTTTGACCGGTCGGAACCGTTGTCGCCAACGCCAAACCGTGTCGTATACATGACTCATGCTCATCCGGCAGCGAACTTTGAGTTGTAGAGCATCTTCCTCGGCAGGCTCTAGGCTCGTGGCATTCCACATCTGAGCAAGAATGTCTGCAAGACGAATGGGACGGTCGTGATCCATGACACTGATTCGACGAATTGCTGAGATCGCACCGTTGAACAGTAGCTTACCGTGATTGAAATCGAGGTGACGACTGAAGCTGCTCTTCAACAACTTCATGAGAGCAAAAGCGGCCGACACAATCATTTGAAGAATGTAATTCGTGGAGTGTCCTATTAGTTCACCTGGCGATGTTTCGAGATCTAGTACTCGACCAAGAAAGGATGTTGTTGCAAGGAAAAGCTTAATCAGATCGTCATTTCGTACAGGGGAGCCTAAAAACATGAAGTACCGGAAGTGCAATTCTGCGGCTCGGAGGTGGATGGTGTTGATTGCTTGGTGCGAGTGTGAGCGGTGCCAGATTGGAATGATACGAAAATTACCTACCGGAGATTTTCCCGTCAAACTCGACATCCATGTCTCTGAGTTCACTTTCCAAAACCTGCACAACCACAAGCTTCTCGGCACTGATAAACTCCACCGGCTCGGGTTTACTGCTGTATAATGCCTTGGTCACCCGGTCGCAGAATTTTTCGATACGCAACCGAATGGCCAGGTCATCGGGAAGCCGGTAGTCGGCATCCCTCAAAGAGGCAGGCTCAAGGGCCCAGTCGTATATCGTGCTCGGCGGTTGACCGTAACCAGTCGCAACACTGCCCAATCCACAATCAGTCTGTGACAAACGCCTACATATGGAAAGGTACTCACTTTTGAGCCACGATGTTACAGATGACCCACGTATGTAGTCGATCCTTTAGAGCTTCCCCTTGAACTTCCATGCGGAATGTTGTGAACTCTTCCGCTTGAACCGGACGGTGTAGCCCAAGCTGCATGGCAATCTGCATCATCAAACCACTAAGCATAAAGGTTGCATCGGTGCGCTGACTGGTAGTCGGAAGAGGCCATGTACACAAAACACATAGGGCTTTGACCACCCGGTAGTCCTGTGGGACACTGGTGATCGTTGACCAAAGCAGCCTGCTAAATGGCCCGGACAGTGCGCTCAAGAGCCCAGGCTCATATTGAGACCGCCGACACGCCACACATATCATAGTCCACGCCAAGAGAGGGCATCGGTTGAGATACACCTCTGGGGGCTTGGGTGGATTCAAAAGAGGAAGAAAGGGGTGGTAATACGTAAAGTATCTATTCCAGATGTTAATTGTAGAAGCGGGTCAAAGAAATAGAGAGCGCATACTGTTCATATAATCGAAGGACTCGGGCTCTAGAGAGACAAATATCTTCCAGTCTCCACTGGCCCTCGTCCTGGGATATGATAGAACCATCCCTTTTCAAAGTCAAAGGAGTTGCTATAGATGAGTGGGGTTCAACCGGCACCGAAACAGGTCGAGATCGGTCAATCGCGGCCGAGTCACGGCGAGCAAAGACATCTTCTGAGCAACGGGACATCTCATCACCTCCATGAGACTCCTGGGGCTCTACGCCTTGCTCATGATCTGAGTTGGGTCCCAGGCGGCGGCGGAGATCTGCGATCTCTTTTTCCATTTCAGCATTGCGCCTGTGAAAAGGAGTCAATATGACGTGGTAGAGAAGAAAATAACAAATGACATGGGAAAAAAAAGCAATTCAAACACAATTTACCTTCTCTTGGAGATGCGCTTGAACGACTGTTCAACTTTGCAGTCTATCCCAAGCCTACGACAACGCGAACAAGCCGCAGCTGGCGTTTGAACAATATCGCATCTCAACTATCAAGGGTTGAGACATCAGCGCGATTGTCGGAGAACCGATACGGTCGGGGTTGGTTTGGGTAAAATTGCACAGCAGTTTCAGACATGCAAAGACTCACCTTTTGCTGCTTACATTCATTACAGGCTTTCCGGCTGCCACCTCGGCGCTTGCCTGTGGCAGGCGGAGCCTTCTCCATTTCGCACGATTCCGAACTTCTCTGCATGAAATTGATAACCGGGGGTGGCTGGGTTAGTGTGGGGGACCGAAAGTCGCTCGGCGGGATGGAGTAATGTGGCCCATCCGGTGCCAGTATGTTCCGATACCCCAAATCCATCGAGATCAGCCTGAGATCAGCCGGTATAAAGACCCACGAAACGTGAACGTATGCTCATGGGAGTCCATGCGCCGTAAATCGGAGGAATCGGCCCGCTGAAGGGGGATGTGGGGAGCCTGTCGGCTGATTGTGGACGATGATTTGCGGCAGATTTGATGGCGAGACGAATCTCGGCAGTTGCTGATTCAGCCACTGCCTGAGGCATCCATTGATGATGTAATTTCAATGATCCTTCGCCCCCGAGGCCACCTGGGCAGCAGCTTTGAAGTTGAACATGGTGCCAAATGTACAAGGATAATGATACCTTTCTCACACCCTGTTGATGATATGTAGCTAACTGCTATAACGAAGCATTGGAGACCTCAAATTGCATCTGGTCTTACCAGCAGATAAATTGTACCTGCATTCAACAAGAATACATCCATAGACGTGGTCTTTGACTTACTCCTCACGTCCAATTAAAGACATCTGTAGATATCATCGAAGAAACTAGAGTCATAGCCGATACATGAATAAATTAAAGCGGTGGTTATATACTCCGTACCTATATGTGGAATACGGAGCACATGTACGGAGTACTCCGTCCAGCATGTTTGGACTTCATGCCCCCACTTGCCATGGACCGAGGTCAATGTCCGGTTTACATGGATTATCTGATCCGCATTCAATGCATTTACATATTTCATTCGTCAACTCTGAACTAGTTCAACACCTGTCATTCCAAAGATCCGATCTGAGATACCCCAAACCCCTTCCATTTTTGACTTTGAAAAAGTGAGTGGGTCGACTGATTCCGCTACTTCAACCGTTGACAACTCAACTCCAGATCATGTCCGGAATCAACGTCACCGCAATTTTTCATTCCAAAGCCGGAGAAGTTTGAAGCAGTCAGCCTATACCCCATCCTCCTTGATAGCCCCCAATATCTCCCATACTGTGTTATCCCCCAGGTAAGTTTATCGCACAAGTCTTTGTTTTCTGGCTACTCTTGTAACCGATGTCATCCCCAAAGTGCAAGAACACGAACCGGACACACTGATCTACTACACATTTCCAATCAAGGAGCAGAATGCGATTGTGATGGTTGCAAGGTCAGTCAACCATTGAGGTATCGATAGAGGCCCTCATAGCTCCCCCACATGGAGAAGGCGGCCGTGCCTCGGCTTAATCTAATTCGCAAAAGCACCTTTGCCATGTTTTTTTTTTTTTTCAACCTTCTGATCGGCTTCTACGAGGTATAAAAACCAGACAGCGATCCCAGACCCACGTCAAATCACCCTCTTTCCGACCCTTCACAAAAAAATTATCCACTGGGTTACCGCACCGGGCGGAGGTCAGGGCAGGTGGATTCCTGACTGGTTCGAGGGGCGTATCGCGGCTGTCGGTGGCTGTGACTCTGTTTGGCGTTACTCTTGGATCCTCAAATAAAAGAAATATATATAGCTGAGGTCCGGGGGTGGTATAGATATAAATAGGATGGATCATGCATAAGTACACTCCAACTCCAAAGTTTCCCATCATGATTCGATCTTTTTAAGTCGACGCCATGACCGGGTTCACTTGGGATCCAATTGTCATGCGATTGGTGCATGAGTGATGGCGGACCAAGAGATGAAGAATTCCGAATCTTCAAATTCATACGGAATGAAAGGATAAGGGGATACTGTTGTCAAAATGCAGTACAATACATACTACGCAAAGATCTTCCATCTCTATTTTAGATGCATTTTCAATATTTAGGAAATAAGTGGGTACAGTTGTATGGTTGAAAGGGTCTTTTGATCTCTTCAAATCTATTTCGTGACTTTTGACTTTTTAGGGGAACTAGTTTGATCGCTGTCCTTTTATATTTTTTTGGGAAGGGGTATTTTTTTTTTTTTTTTCCCTTTCTCTCTTTCCTTTTCTTTCTCTCCCACCTCCCTCGACTTTTCTGTTTGTTTTGGTTTCTTAATTATTTTTTATTATTTTTTTTTATTATTTTTTTGGTGAGTCCGTTCTTTCATCTTTTCGTCTCCACATCTTTCCCACCCCCTCTTTTTCTCTAGCTCCAGCCTCCTAGCTTCTTTTCCTCCAAGTTATCCCCCTGAAGCTAAAGCTAATCTTCTGAAGATACCCTTGTTGCCATTGTGTCCTTCCACGTTATCGTTGTCGGAACCCCCTTATCGCCCACATCCCCCCTCCCCAAACAACTCCTGTTGAACTTCAGCTTGATTTGATTTGATTATAATTTTGTGACGATATGGCGACGGGTCCGGCTACTCAGTCACTGAAGGTGAGCATCTGAAATGACCGATAGTGATGCGCGGAATTTAATTGACAAGATTTGTAGTGTGTGGTGACTGGTGATGGTGCAGTTGGCAAAGTTAGTACATCCCCCAACACTCGATCCCTACTCCATCTCCTCTTGCGATACATGCTGACATCTAATTTCGGTTCTCCTAGACATGTCTTCTGATCTCGTACACAACGAATGCTTTCCCGGGTGAATACATCCCTACTGTGTTCGTATCCACTACCCCTCAATGCGAAACCGTGAATCCCGAACGGACATTGATTTCATTGCAGCTTTGACAACTACACGGCCAGTGTTATGGTTGACGGCCGGCCGATCAGCCTGGGACTGTGGGATACTGCTGGACAAGAGGATTACGATCGTTTGAGACCGTTATCTTACCCGCAAACCGACGTCTTTTTGATCTGCTTCTCCATCGTCAGCCCACCGTCATTTGATAACGTCAAAGCAAAGGTACGGATGAGCCGAGCAGACATAATAGACTTACCAGGGTCTTGCTGGTTCTATGCGACTAACCTGGTCCTTCTAGTGGTTCCCTGAGATCGAACACCACGCCCCAAATGTCCCCATCATCCTCGTCGGTACCAAGCTCGATCTGAGGGACGACCCCGCCACCACGCAAGCCCTTCACGCACGTAAGATGGAGACCGTCTCCTACGAACAAGCCCTAGCCGTGGCCAAGGAGATTCGCGCACATAAGTACCTTGAATGTTCGGCTCTGACACAACGCAACTTGAAGAGCGTGTTCGACGAAGCCATCCGGTGCGTGTTTGCTCTCTTCCCCGGAGTGACTATCTGTTCAAACCCTTGTTTTCTTCTAACGGTCTACATCACAGGGCCGTTCTCAACCCCCGTCCCACTACAAAATCCGGGAGGAAGGCAGCCAAATGCAATATCTTGTAGAGCACATTTGTTCGGCTTGACTCGTCTCCCCATGTTCTCGTATGCTATAATGAATAATATATAGTTAATACGGCGTCTGGGTAGTTAGGTCCCTTTTTTTTTTTTTTCTTGCCGGCCTCTCAGTCGTTTTGTGATGAAATCCATTGACCGTGTTTCTGGGGGATATTTTCTGTCTTTGCCCTGTTGGCCCTTGTTCATAGTCGGTCCCAATCCATTCGCGATATCCTTGAATCCAAGATTATGACCTGGTCATTCTAAGCTATTCGAAGTTAAATGGATAGATATGCACCTGGACAGACGGGCAATTTGCTGGAAAAGAAGCACAGGAAAAAAAACAGATGAATTGGTATCTTCAAAACCAGGGAATAGAGACGTGAAGTAAATACTTTTTGGAACACGGAAGAAAATACTAGCCAAAATTGATGCTCCCGGGAATGCATGGCTATCCAAATGTCCAGCTGCCCGCAGATGCTCCGGACACCTTGCTGTGCACTATTCCGATCCACCAACCAGTCGAGACGGTTCAAAGCAAACCGTGGTAGTGAACCAGCAGCTTTCGTTGATTTAAACACGGCCTCTGCGGCTAGGATGCAGACCAGCCCACTGATCGTTGTCAGCGCTGACAGCGGTGTCAGCTGCACCGTCCATGCTAGCAGCGTTGGCACCAGAGCCGCCAGCCGGAGCTGCCGTCTTCTCGTGTTTTCTCTTGTCCTTCTGGATTTCCTTAGCCTGGCGCTGGCGCTCCTCATTGAGCTTCTCGTTCTTGGCCTGGATCTTGGCATTACGATGTTCGGACTTGGCGCCGCCACCGCCAGCACTGGAATTGGTAGTTAGTAAACGGGCATGGTTGCAATTGAATTTACTTGCAGGAGAAGATTTGGAAATTGTGATCATCTTCTCCAATTGGTTGGGGGATGGGAGAACTCACGTCAGCTCAACGTTCATGCGTCGGGGCGGGTACTTTCCGTCGTCGAAGGTGGAGTGGTGGTACAGCTTAAGGCAGGTCTTCATGCGGTCGTAGTTGTCAAACTCAATGAATGCAAAGCCACGGCACTTCTTGGGGTCTTCTTTCTTGGTTGCAACACGGATTGTGGCCGGGGGGTTCTTTTCGAAGTGCTTGCTCAAGGACTCGTGGTTGGCGGAGTAGGGAAGGTTGCCTGCAGATGCGATTGTCCTTTATTTAATCCTGTGTCTTCGGTTCGAGGGAGCCCATCTGGATCGGAATCACTTACCGACAAAGCAGATGAAGCGGGAGCTCTTCTGGGCCTGCTCGGCCTCCGCGGTAGGCTTTTCTTCGGTCTCAGCAACAGGCTCAGTCTTCTGCTTCTTCTCCTTCTTCTCCTTCTTCTTTTCCTTCTTCTCCTTCTGATCGGCGTCCACCTTCTCGGTAGGGGTCACGTCAACATCCATAGCATCTTCGGATGGAGCAGCAGCCTCCGCGTCGACCTCCTCGGCCTTGCGCTTCTCCTTCTTCTCCTTCTTCTCTTTCTTCTCCTTCTTCTCCTTCTTCTCCTTTTTATCAGACTTCTCTTTTTTGTCGACCCTCTCCTTCTTCTCAGACTTGTCCTTCTTCTTCTCCTTCACCTCTTCGAGCGCCGGGGCAGCAATTTTGGCGGGAGCGACAATCTGGGGCTCCTCTTGCGCCTTACGCTTCTCCTTCTTCTCCTTCTTGTCCTTCTTCTCCTTTTTCATCTTCTTGCCCTCGGGCTCGACCACCTCATCCTGCACGAGCTTGCGCTTATCGCCCATTGGGTTGGTCTGTGTGGGGTCAATGGTGGGATTGGAGAGAAAACAAGACGAGTAAAAGTCTTGGGATGTATAAAAAAAATAAGAAAAGAGCTGGAGAAAGTTTGCTGCACAATGAGACTCAAGTTCCAAAAAAAAGTCGGGCGGAAAGAAAAGTGAAATTTAATTTTTGCCGTATCTCGGGAGGCGGTGAACAGTGTCCGATAAGGCAGGCCTTGCATTTTTATAGTTCGCAATGGATAACAAAGTACCAACCACACTACACAACTGTATTAATACTTTCATTCGAGTTTGCATATACTCATATCGTATACCAGTATAATGGTTCGAGATCAGCATGTTATATTAGAATACCAAGATCTTCACACCCTTCTTCGCCCCATAGCGCTCAAGCAGTTCCGGCCGAGTAAGCAGCTTCAACAGCGGCATATGCGTGTCCTTCATGTCAAAGATGCCTCGCTGCTTCTGGTCAATGTGTGATCCATCAATGACGATGCGCTCCAGCTCCTCCAGGTTGAGAGTTCCTACAAGATCAATTATCAGCTTCTGCATGTATTACGAAGTGAAGCAATCTGTAGACAGCAATCGGGTAAACTCACCAGACTCGATCAAATCAGAGATTCTAGTTGGGGTTCCAGCCCCGATACCAGACCGGGCACGTTGAAGAAACTGCTTTGCTTCCTCCAGCTTGATGTGCTTCGCGAACAGCTTTCCTACAATGCTATCCTTGGTTTGGAATGAACGTAGTGCCCTAGTAACATCAATTGTCTGCCCTAAGTTCGTATCATGCCAGAGGTTTGAAGGTTGCCCACTTACCGTACAACATCAGCAGCTCGCAGAGCAGCACCCGAAATGACTAGTGTATGAGGAGTGCCGTTCTTCTCAGACGACTTCGACAGGTCAACACCCTTGGGACTGAACGACTTGAGAAATTCGGGGAGTTGCTCTAGCTTTCGAGTAGAGGTGAAGGAAGAGGTATCGAGGAATGCGGAATCTATAGATTGATCAGTGTCTAGAGCACCCCTCGACTTTGACCGACAGAAGAATAGAAATTCAACAAACCTGGAATCGAAAGGTCACTCAGTTCAACAGCGGAAAGCTCCTTATCGTGCCTTTTGGCCTTCTGAGCAAAGTGATCGCCCAACAACCGGCCGTCCATCTTGCCAATCGACTCGTCAATGCCATCTTTGCGCGTTGACTGGTTCTCATCGTGTTCAGCTTGTTTCTTCTTGTTCTTCTTCTGCTTCTTCTTGCTTGATCCCTCTACGGGTGTGCCTGCCTCGGGCTTTTCTTGCTTGGGAGCAGCGTCGTCGGCTTGCCTCTTGCGCTTGTTTTGGAGTTTGTTGGAAAGTCCTTTGGGGGCGTTTGTGTCAGCCATTGTACCGATAGCAAGCATGAACTTGGAAAAAAATCTTCCGGGTATTTCAATCTTCAACTAGCAAATGCAAGTCGTATCGAGAAGACTTGACTGCACAAAAAAAACCCGGCTGATTCAGCCATTCTTATCGATAAGTACGGGCCAATCATGCACTGGCCCGCAATTGTTGTTTCTGACGCGACAGGCAAACACCAACGTTGACCTTGTAATTCACTTGTTCGCCCAGTTTTTCTGAATTTTTTGGTTGTGGTGATCACATATGTGGTCTAAGATATCTTAAATGATATAGCTGTGCTTTCTTGTAAGAAAAACCAAGCTATGTCTACTTCTACCCCAAACGCGCGTGGCCATCGGTCACCATTTGGAACCGCTACCCCATCTGGGGATACAACATTGAGCGGAGTAAGTTATCCAATACCTTTTGCTAGGTTTAAAAATTGCTAAATGTATCATTTCACTACAGCTCCAACGCCTTCCTAGCCATACACGCTACCCTCTCACACCAAGTCGACTTGTTACCGCAGCCACGCCGGGGACTCAACGGTCTGCCTCTCGATACACGCCACGCGCTCGAGGTTTGGGTGCACCAGAAACACCATATGGACTTCGTGCCCGACAACAACGAGCGGCTAATACCCCTGGTCGGGATCGCCGAAAAAGCGGACGAATGCAGCGGGAGACTACATTCGATATTCTCAGAAACCTGGGTAGAGGTAAGAGCTTCGCCACATGTCACTGGACATGAAGAACTGTACTGAATTATTTGGGCCGGCCTTAGCACTTGCCACTGTATCTCAGCCTATCCGTTCCTCGCCGCAGGAGAAACCGGAGCCTATCGAAGAGCCGGTCGATGAATTTGAACAGCTTGATAATGAGCCAGAAATCGAGCGACCGCGGTTATCCTTGCCTATTCAGGAGTCTGAGGAAGAAGGCGAAGAAGCGAGTCCTGAAATGCAACCCCCGAGGATGTCTTTTGCCTTGGTAGAAGAGGACATGGATATGACTTATCAGTCTGTCGAATATCCTCGCGATGCCAGCATCAGAGACAGGGACCGGCTATCAATGATGAGCCGAGCTACCGGCAGAATCAGTGGAGATTTTGACGAGACACGATTAGAGAGCGATGATGCAGATGAAACTGGGATAGTGGGCGAAGATGATGAGGCAGAGGATACATTGATGAGTGGGGGTGACTTTGATCGAGGGTTGGTATACAAGATTTGGATTGTTTACATATGTGACAAATCTTGGCTAATTTCACAAATAGGGGAGAGACGGAGGATCTAGGCCGCTTCCATTTTGACCTCAACTTCCCATCTCCTGCGGCTGCTACGCTTGAGGATCCCACTGGCGGAGATATGAACGACATGGAGGATTTTGAGCTGTCCAACGCAGAGCCACCCCCAGCTGCATCAGACGATGATGATGACGACGACGACGTTGGAGCTGATTTTGGTTTCGGACTCGACTTCCCACCCGCAGCATCCCCAAGTGAGAGCCCTGGGATTGTTGGAGGCGGATTGCGAGATGAAGCTATCCCAGCCCAAGGCAAGCAAAAGAAGATTTCACGATATGGAATTCCTGTCCCAAACTTGCCTGCAGGTGTGGTAAAAAAGCTAGCAACTCGCTTCGCACGTTCGGGGGCTGGATCAAAGGTAAAAATCAACAAGGCCACGCTGGCCGCCATCGAGCAGGCGTCCTCTTGGTACTTTGAGCAGGCGAGCCAAGATTTGGCTGCGTATTCAAAGCATGCAGGACGGAAGACTATTGATGAGAGCGATGTCACCACACTGCTAAAAAGGTCAGTTTACTCGTAAGTCAACCATCTCATGAGAGGAATTGCTGACTTGTTCCAGGCAACGCCATATCAACAACTCCACGACAGTGTTTTCCCTCGCCCAGAAGCATTTACCCAAAGAACTTCAGCAAGATATGAGATTGGCCATGCCTCCATGAATATCCAGGATAAAACTCTGCTTGAAAAGTAACGCTTTCAACGCCAGTGAATTATGCTAAGGTAAAGTTGGAATCCCGCTACCGATTACCAGTTTCGGTTCTGGCGAACTCGGCGCAGTGCCTCGTTGGGGTTCTTCCGAATAACCATCCACATCATGATGGTCGTAGCCAAAGACAGGCCGTACCTATTAAGCATTAGCGACAATCTCAAGTCAGAAGAAAAAGCACGCAATGGATCCAACCTACCAAGTGAAGATATATTGAGAATGGTTGTTTCTCAAATTCAACTCTGCGGCGCGGCCAATCGGGATTCCCTTGGCCTCACGATCATATGATTCGATGAGGTCAGGCACTGAATACGCAAATCATCGTTAGCCATGCACTAGCAGGATAATCTAATTTAGCCTCCTCACCCATTGTCTGCTCAATCCAAACAGGCTGGCTCCCGCTCTTCTCTGCCATCTGATTTATGTCAGGGAAGTAGAATTTTCCCTCCTCCGGTTTGTTATCCGGTGTAAACATGTTTTTCTTCCATGGCTCTCGTAACAAACCCTCCACGGTCACCTCTTCTTCCAGTACACCTAAAGGCCGGTCTTTCTGATCCTTCAGTTTTCTTGAGATCCAACCCCGATTCACAAGTACGGTGCTTTGTCCCTCTCGCTCGAGGGGAGTCACCACGATGAACCCGTCCTCTCCTTCGTTCATGCGGGGTCCAACCAGCATTTCTTTGTCATGGCGGAAACGGCCGGTAGCGTACACGCGGCGGTAGTCGAACTCTGAAATTGCATCCGGGTCAATTCGGGGCGGCAGTGGCAGAGGAGGCTTCACGAGACGGTCCTCAAATTTGGCCATCAGTTTGGTTTTCCAGTCCAGGCGCTGCACCTGCCATGTTCCCAGAATGAACGAGATGATAGGAATCAGAGCTATAATTACGTAGAACAATAGGTTAGCAATGATCACTTAGCCACCAAAAAATAGTATTCTCGAAAAAATGTAGCATTGGACATCTGACATACCCAAAATGATCAGACCAGGTCCATGTTTCTTATTGACGCGGACAAGCTTCGCTGGGTGGTCTACAACGTTCAGACCATCGGCCAGCTGGCGTGATTGCGAGAAATAGCGGAATTGTGATAGGCGGTATTTGGCGCGGATGGAATCGATCTTCGATGGTACACGAGGATTCCGAAAACCCCGAGTCGGCGGTGTCCAGACCCTCGCCGGTGCCTTCTGCAAAACAGAGAAGATTGACCGCATTTCGATGGTTTAGAAATTTTGAAGAGCAAGTTGAGGTTTGCACGGGGCTAAAGAGTTGGAGTTTCTTCCAAGGTTGCTGCAAATGCGACGGAATTTCAGGATCGGGGGTTGCCGTGACCGCCCACGCTTCTCCAATCTATACTTGTCTCTCCGCACCGGCCTTTCCATTTCCTTCAAGTCTTTACCGGAATGCGATCATGACACTTTTCTACAACGGATCCCTTCAGGAGGGCATTGCTGCTGCGGTGAGAGATGCTAAAGCAGTTGCTTGCTTTGTTAGAGGTCGCTGATGTTCTCCCCGCATCGAATAACATGTTGCTGATCTTGGGGCTTGAACGTACAGATGATGAAGAGTTAAGTTCTCAATGGGAGGTCACTTATTTCGGCGATGATGGGGTACAGCCACTCGCTACACTTGAACTTCTGACGGTATCTGACTCCCTGTAGGTTGCGCAAGCACTCAACGCCAAAGCAGTTGTATTGCGCTTGTCAGCGGGGTCACAGGAAGCTGGATTCCTGGCCTCTTTCTGTCCGATCTCAAAATTCCCGACTGTTGTCCTCATTAAGTGCGTTTAATTGTTCAACGCCTATGGGCAACTCGGTGTTGGTTTGCTGACTTCATTCCAGGAATGGCACGCTGAAGGAATACATCGGGCCAGATATCCCCAAAGATGACTTCCGCAGTCGATTGATTGCAGCTTTGGAAGATGAACAGAAACCCAGTCCTGTGCAGCAACTACAAAGCAATGACACTCCTGCCGCTCCGACTAATTATACGCCGGTGTCAGTGGCGCCTCAACCCCAACCTGGGGTGCCATCCAATGCCAGCAAATCCACAAAGCAAACAAGTGAAATTACAGTCAAGAAACAATCATCGATTGAACAAATGCCCGTGAAAGCTGCAGAACCTGCAAAGCCAGCAGGCTCTATGTCTCAAAAGCCCTTATCATTCAAAGCTGGCAATAAAGACATTAAAGGCAAAGCACCCATGGGGTCTAAGAAGCCCACCGACAAAGTTGTGGTAAAGAACGAACCGCAAGAGCCAAAACCTAGAGTCCCTCGAGGACCTCCAAACGAGTACCGGCTACAAGTACGCCTGTTTGATGGAAGCTCCGTGCGGTCTAGCTTTGCACCCACTCAGAGCATCCGAAACGATGTACGGGCTTGGCTTGATCAGAAGATGGAAGGCGACAACCGACCGTACAACCTCAAACATATCTTAACCCCCCTCCCCAGTGAAAATCTTTCCGTCACTCAAGAGTCGCAAACTCTCCAAGACTTAGGTCTTGGTTCCACCGCAAACCTGGTTATGGTACCCGTATCAACGTACACGGAGGCCTATTCGGCAGCGGGTAGCTTTCCCGTTCGTGGTTTCTCTGCCATCTACAATCTGGCCTCTTCTGCTGCCAGCACTGCAACGGGACTTGTGGGTTCATTCCTTAGATATGGCTCAACCGCACAGGCAAGCGGTGCAATCACTCCTTCAGCCTCTCCGGCTACTGGCAATTCTCAACGTCCTAGGACCACTGGACCCAATATTCAGACGCTTAGAGATCAGCAAGGTGGACGTGGGAATAGTCAGCTCTACAATGGGAATCAGGTATGTGATGTTAAGTGGGATTATCCTTTTCAGGTTTGGCTAAGATCTTTCTCAGTTGAATTTCGAGCCACGAAAGAAACAGGATGACAAGGACAAATAAGTCCTAGCGGTGTTGTTTCGGTGTTGTTGCATTATTTATGGCGCTCATGGATCGGATTAGCCCACAACGCTCTGTACTATGGCACTCTGGCTATTGTTTCACTTTCTGGTTACGGTAAAGTCTGCAGTCAAAATAACCACCCGAGAACCGTTTACTGCACATGTAAGGAGTTCGTTAAATTCATGCATTCAAATTCTTCATCCGGTAGTCAAGCATTGATTCCCTTATCGAGGAGAGATGGTATAAAAGTACAAAGAGGGGATATGGAAATGGCTATGCAAAAGAAAGATTTGGCTATGAACGACCAAGCCCATAACCCCCATCACATATTACAAAAAAAGTATTTGTCTTTCTGGCCACCAAGGGTCAAATTGGTATCAAACCCTTAGTAGGGCTTGGCGGCAGCCTGGCAAGCTTTCTGCAGGACATCAGCAAATGTTTAAAAAAGCAGAGCAAAACAGAAAAGTGTAAACATACCAGCTGATCAAGGTACCAACCGCAAATGCTCAAGTTACCCTGGTTCTCATCCATGCAAGTGCGGAAGTTGCGGACATCAACCTCACAGGCAGGATTTTCGTACGAGGTCTGCGCAGCGTTGCTCTGGTAGAGGCCGTTGTCCATAGCCTGGGACTGAGCAGGGGGAACCTGCTGGGCCTCGGCAGGGGCGCTAGAGCCACCGCTGAAGAAGCCACCGATGGCGTGCCCGATGGAAGAGCCGACAGCAACACCACTGTATCGAAACAACAGTAAGCACAACTTCCGGAAAAGTCGATCCTAATGCCGGATTTTTATCGGGGAACGAAGCACAAAGCCGGGTTTGGAACTTACGCTGCGGTTGAGGCCATCTGGCCGAACAGTCCAGGGCCGGCGCTCTGCTGCTGCATGGGAGGAGCCTGCTGGGCCTGTGGGGGTTGAGCGGCAGTCGAGTGAGGCTGCGACTGCTGCTGCGAGGGAGCAGCCGCGGGTCGAGCAGGAGCGGCGGTAGGGCGTCTGGGAGCGCTACGCGCAGGGGTGGGAGCGGCACGGCGTTGTTGACGAGGCATTTTGATGATTGTTTGTGGGTTTTTTTTGGATGAGTGTAGAGGGAGGTGAGGAAATTCAAGTTGAGATAGGTATAAGTGCTGGTGGAGGAAGAAGAAGCTAGAAGATGAGTAAGTTCGGCCACTGAGGCAAACTCCGATGCAAACCTTGGAGATTTGTGGACGTTGATTGGTGTATTGCTGTCACGTGGATCGGACATTGCGGTCCCGGTTGCCCGGCTCGGAGTCAGGAACGGAGTTACTACGGGACTAACTAGCATGTGCTATTAAAAGCGCTAAAGTGGATGTGCACAAATTGTGTCATGGGAAGTAGCAGTCGGTTTCATCTACTAGCCTGTGCATAGAGTGTATCACGGGGCTTGTTGTAGCTCCCATTGCGGAAGGGTATCTTGATTCATGGAGACATCCAAGTCTCGTACCTGCACGGTAGTACATAGAGCCACCCATTGTGGTCTCGAGATGGCCGAGACATCCATCTAAATAGAATCTCATGGCCGAACAGGCTTGGCAAAGCGATGATTAGATTCGACAATGCATGTAGTGTCGACAGTCGACAGAGGTTTTGGTATTGATAACGCATAGCCAATGCTATGCATCGAGACCGCCCAGCAGTCCGTCCTTAGCATTCGAGGCGCAAGGCAGTTCGTACTTAGTTCCCATCAAAATCGGGGTGCAAGGCGATCATTGGGCCTTTCGGGCCTTCCGAGCCTCCTCCTTTTTCAGCCGTCGCTCCTTCTTCTCTTCTTTCATTGTCGCCTTGCTGATTTTCCTCTCCTTTTTTGACTTGCTGATTTCTGATTTGTGGTCTCCCTTGGATTTTTTTTTGCTATCTTTCTCGGCCTTTCCGGGGTGAGTTGTATCAACCTGGGGCTCTGCTGTTGTTGCATTTTCCACGCCCCCTTCAGAGTCATCAGAGTCAGAGTCGTTATTGGATTGCGCTTTCGAAGCCTCAATACTCTTGCGGGCGAGCATGGCTGCTTTGAACTGAGCACGGGCTCGCTCTTTGGCCTGCTTTTCTGCCCGTTCCAAGTCATACTTGTCATTGCCAGACTGGGTAAATTGGTCAGCAGCCATTACAATACAATAGAACAGTTCAACACTTACAAGGCCATGCTTGATGAATCTACCAGCAGCTGCCTTATCAAGAGTCATAGGGCGCTCCTCAGGTTCAGTCTCCAGTACCTTGATCTTTTCAAAGTACTGCTTCACGCGGGTCAGTTCCCGGAACACCGGGTGCTGCTTCGCATTCACGCCATGAAGCCGCAGATAAGCTGAGAAGTTGATTAGCATAAGCAAATCTGCAATCCTGTAGTGTGACGTACAGAAGATTAGTGATTCTAATGTGTAGGTGATCAACACGTGAAGTTTTGCTTTGTCCATAACAGGTAGTTTATTTGAACTTTTGAGGATGGTTCTGGCCAAAAGAGGCTGAAGCACATCTTCCAAATCATCAACATTATCGTCCAGCTGCTCAAGCAGCGGTAGTAGGTATGTTGGGTCCATTGCGGTGAGATACAGGATGTGGTGTAGAAGAGAGATTGCTGGATCTAAGAAAAAAAATAGGACGGGTTCAACTTGGCGGTGAAAAAGGGCGGTGTGGATTCTGGACCGATCATCATCTGCGCAACTGAGATCGCCGAGAACTCGCGCACATCCAACAATTGCTTGATTGTTTAAAATAAGGTCTTGATGGACACAACAGTGGCTGGGCTCTTACCTATTTGACATTGCCCATGACATAAAAATTGATAGCTAAACCAACACATGCTTCTGACGTCCTCCCATCACCAGACACATACTTGCAACTCAACTCAATCGGATATCCCGGGGAGCTTTTTCTCAACACTTTCAGAATGCAGTCTACATTTTGGTCTCGCTCTTCATGGCGGACTGGTATTCCTGGTGCCTGTTTTCGGTCCCGATTCCAGGTCTATGGTGGGCCAAGTACACGATTCATCTCAACATGGAAGGAAGAGTTGCATGAGGTCAACCATGATACAAAAGCCCTTCTGTCAGGAAGAGTGCACATCCTCGGAATGGGTAATCTAGGTTGTTTCTTTGCTCACTCTTTAGCCACGAGACGGTCACCGCCTCCAATCACAATCTGCTTGCACAATGACTATCTCTACCAGGCCTTTGTTCGGAAAAGGGGACAAATTTCTGTCAGCACCCATGGCCTTGATGATGTCAGAACAGGATTTGATGTTGAAACAGTGGATGAAGAGGGAAGATGGTACACAATGCCGCCTGTTGACAACCGGCCCTCGCCATTCAATTCTGAGTCTCCGCCAGATAATGGTCCCATTGAATGCCTAATCATTTGCACCAAGGCGCATCACACGGAGCTTGCCATTAAAGATATTAGTCACCGCCTGACGAAAGACTCGACTATCTGTCTTGTCCATAATGGCATGGGAGTACTCGACTCCATCAATCAAAATGTTTTCCCCGATCCTAACAATCGACCACATTACATCCAGGCAGTCTTCAGCCATGGTCTGGGTAGGAACGACTCGTTCAAAATTTCACATTTGGGAGTTGGGACCACAATCCTTAGCCCGGTTGGAGATCCCAGCATCCCTCCCACGACGCCAGAAGCTGACCATACGTGGGCGCCATCCACAAAATATCTTCTACGCCTGTTGACTCTCACTCCGCCCTTGGTCGCCGTGGCTGATACGCCAGCGGGTCTATTACAATATCAACTTGAGAAATTGGCAGTGAACTGCGTGATCAATCCTCTGACTGCCCTGAGCGACTGCACCAATGGTGAAATCCTCTATTCGTTTAGTTTCACCCGTGTCATGCGGCTGCTACTCTTTGAGATTTCTGCTGTGATTTGTGCTCTTCCTGAACTGCAAGGTATCCCGGGGATCGAAGATCGCTTCTCTCCAGAACGCCTGCGTCGTTTGGTCGTCAATATCGCGAGCAACACGGCCAAGAACCACAGCTCGATGCAGCAAGACATCAACCAGAGGAGATTGACAGAGATTGAATACTTCAACGGATGGATTGTGCGTCGCGGTGAAGAACTGGGTATCAAATGCGCACTCAACTACATGATCAAGCATTTGGTCGCTGCCAAAGCAGCTACCCATCGGAGCCGAGAAGCTGGCGCTATTCCCCTCGATCTCGACAATGTCATCTCTACCAATGAACCTCCCATTTAAGAGCTCTGGACTTCCTTCTACTCTGTCAAATTCTTACTCTACCCTGGCTCCTTGTCATATCTCTCTGTGTGTGAGCAGGTCAAAAGATTCAACAATAATAATCGAAATTACTTGCGGGGCATCTCTATATAGAGACAGTTTTGGCCGCACGGTCGCAGAGATCCTTGATCTGCCTCCATCGTCTCAGCAGCATCTCTGCTTTGGGACGATGTGCTTTGACTGTGGCATCGAGTTCCATGGCCTTCTGCAGCACCGTTACAGTTGCATCTGCTTCTGCGGCATATGTCAAAATCCACCTCTTGATGGTGGCCTCGGATCGGCTCTCATCCAAGCCTTGTGATTGGCCTTCAAGAACATGGTTCCGCCAATCCTCTTCCTTCATATAACTCAGGCATGCAGCGACCTCTGTGCGGTAACAGGGTCCATGGGGAGTGACTTGGTAGTTACTAGCGCTGTGTCAGCGGAGGAATGTAAATATAGATTGCGTATATTCGCGTGGAAATGCGCACTGTCATGTGAAAACATCAAATCAAGCTACATACCCATAATACTGATTCAGCCACAACTCCTCTTGCTGCCCGGCGGAATGGATGTCCCGGAAAATTATATCATCAAGATAGATCGAATCCGATTCATTCACATCAAGGAAGAAGCCATCTAAAGAGAAGGGAGGGACGAAGTCAGCACGTCAAAGAGAAAAAGAGAACAAGAGAACAAGACTTTCTCACATTCTGCTAGTAAAGTGTCATTCGGGTGACTGCCATAGTTCATGAATACTTCATCACCCTCCTCATAATCTTTCGTAGCGCGAAATTCATACGTATTCGCATCAAATTTAACATCCCGCTATTTCCATCTATATGTTAGCTCGGTTAATAAAGGATTAAACGAGGACGAGGACGTACAGCAACATCCGCATGATTGAAGTAATCAGCAAAAGGCACCAGCCCCATCGCATCGTTGGGGTCTTCCGGTGTTTCCTGTCCCTCGCCAAGCCAGTAGAAACTCCTGGTGTTCACAATCAGCCAGTAGTATGAGAATTTCTCCCAGTTGGTATCAGGGAAGGCAGAAATGACGTCCGTCCATGCTTTGCGTATGCGCTGGGCCTGCTGCGAAAGAATATTTTGGTAGTCTGAGCTGTATTTCCTCGTCTTTGGGCCTGGCTGAAGACTATTCCAGTGCCCTGAAATTGACGCCGGAAGAAGACTTGGCTGCTCCGAGTCAGTCAAGGCGTCCTCTCTACTGCTGGGCAACTGCGGCCCTCCCAGGGCGGTTGGCCAGAGGATCGGCATGCTGTCTTCGAAGTCTTTTCGGCTGGGCCATGACTTGCGCCATAGCTCGTATTCTGACAGTTCATCTTGTTCACCGTGCGTAAGGTATGCTGCTAGAAGTGCGTGTACAGCAATGTCTTCTGGGAGTTTGTCGATGAAGGTAGAAGGGATATCTTCAACCCTAAGCATCAACCGTGTCGGCACTTGGAGTACAATTTCTCCTTTCTGAACAGATACTCAGCGAATAAGTATTCATATACAACTGAGGAGTAAACATAGATTTGGGAGTTCATACTTTGATGCTCCGGGTGGCCATCATTCCCAGACCACGTCCTTGGAACCGGGCTGGGGTCACCGAGTTGGTATTTATGCCATTGGAGGTTGCCCATTCAGTAAAGGACTGATGCTCTTCTCCGGGCCACCATGCTGGCTTCATTATGGATGGCTTCTGTGCTTCTCGGAAGACTTTGAGATGCTTAATTTTGTCAGCTTATACTACGAGATAGGGATTGATTTGGAGAGATATACATTTGTTAGAACACACCTTCAGAGGGGCCTCTTCGATTAGTTTCTGTTCTCTCAAGCCAAAAATCTTAACAACGAAATTTTTATCAGTCTCAATGAGCGTCGATGTGTATCTCGAGGTGTGTCTGAAATTCACTGTACACTGTGGAGCACAGGGTTATCGGCGATAAACGGCGTTATCGTGAATTACGGCAGAGCACAACTGCCACTTGTGCTGTTCCTGCCGATCTGATAATCATACCACTTCTACTTTCATTTCAGCTTTCGGCCCGGACCATGCACAAGCTCCTCTGGTTTTGGGATTCATAATGTCAGTACTTGGGAGACGTGGGGCAATTGAACTTCGAGTTTTTGCTGCCAGCTCAAACCTATCAGCTGCAAGCGCTCTGCGGCCCTTTTCCGTTCTGAATCGCCCACCACCAAACTACCCTGGCCATGTTCCATTGACTACTTTTGAACGCGGGGCTCTTGCTCTAGGATCGGCAATTGGATCCCTCATCAACCCTAGAAGAGCGGGTGCGTGGACATAATTTCCTACAGAACTAGTATAGAATCTCGAATCACCATCTAACATGGAACTCTATAGATCTCATTGCAGCCTTAGGCGAAGCCACTGCGACACCATTTTTTATATACCGACTACGCGATGCCATGCTCTCGGATCCAACAGGGCGCCGCATTCTCCGCGATCGCCCTCGAATCACATCCCAAACCCTCAAAATGAGCCATCTCCGCACGCTCCCTGAGAATTCCGTCGGCCGGACATACGCCAAATGGCTAGACCGCGAGGGCGTATCCCCCGACACGCGAGATAACGTTAAGTACATCGACAACGAAGAATGTGCATATGTCATGCAACGATACCGCGAATGCCACGACTTCTATCACGCAGTAACGGGTCTACCGATCTTTGTAGAGGGCGAGCTGGCTCTCAAGGCACTGGAGTTCCTGAACACACTTCTGCCCATGACGGGGCTGAGTCTATTCGCCTTTGTGCGGATGAAGCCCGCTGAGAAAGAGCGGTTCCTCTCGTTACATCTCCCGTGGGCTATTCGCAGCGGGCTGGGGAGCAAGGAATTTATCAATGTTTATTGGGAGGAGGTGTTGGAGAAGGATGTGGACGAGCTTAGAGCTGAACTGAATATCGAGCGTCCGCCGGATCTGAGAGAGATTCGGAAGATGATTCGGCAGCAGCAAAAACGGGAAAAAGAGAGGCAGCAGCAAGCTTTGAACTGAGCTGGATTGCGTCCTGCCGGAGCGAAGGCTCTCGAACATAGGGAGAGATGTATGATTATTGGATCGTTGTAAACCCATATCACTGGTGCGCAGATACGAGGCTGATTGCCCTAAATTTCAACTCAGTTGCAAATAGTTTAAAAAGATGGACCATAACGCCTGGAGTATATTTTCCCAGTGGGCCACGAGCGGATCGCAACAGAGGTATCCGAATGCCAAAAAAGGGGCCAAAGGCAAAATGATCATAGATCATATTTCATGCGACCCTCACAGGTCCAAGAGATCATCATCATCATCCTCCCACCCACCTTTGCGGCGCGAGATGACGATTTTGTGCTCCTCCTCTTCTTTGCGCTGGTTCTCTGCCACAGCTCCCAACAACTCCTTGAGCTGTGCCTCCGTTACCTTTGCCCGTAACTGTCCAGACTGGGCGAGCATGATGAGACGGTTCTCGATATCTGTTGCGCGCGATTCCTTCACGAGACGGATACGGCCCAGGCGATCGGCAGCGTCGGGGTCAAGGATTTGTGACAGGATCGAAGCGCGTTGCTCAGCTATGATTATTCAACAATAGGTTAGAAATGCGGCGATACAAGGACGTTGCTTGTCGTCCATCGAATGCGAATCAGCGGACTGGAAACGTTGGATGTAGGGACCTACCCTCTGCTTGTCTGGTTGAGTTTGTTAGCATACACCATATGCTTGCGGCTTATTCCAACACTCACCTCCTCTGTTGTGCCTGCTCGCCACCATCTTGGCCGGCTAGACCCCCTCCGCGTGGTCCTTGTTGCTGGAGTTGAGCGAGACGAGCTCGTCGGATCTATTTTCTCTTTATTAGTACGGTGGTCGACGGGCGCAGAGCGCTCTCATGATGTGGCTGTGAGACTGACCTCTTCTAACTCTGCGTCTGCCATTGTGGATATTCAACTCGAGTCAGGGGGCTTTGGTAGTGATCAAAATGTGAAGAGTCGAGGATTTATTCGGTGAACCCCACTTGGGTTCGCCTGAGTACGGAGAGGTGTACTGACCATCCTTGATTCCGGGGTGCATATTACTAAGGACCGTGGAGGGTATATCTTACAACCGTTTGCTTGAGTAGAGTCATTACGGGGGTCGGAAAATTGATCATTTTGAAGTTTGTGATTGTCGTGAAATTCAATTTTTGTTGCTCTCTATATATCTGCAACCATCATCTATCAATTCTTGAACCACAGTTGGACTCTCTACATTAGACAGCCAGAAATCTAGAAAAAAATCAAGAAAAATTCGAGAAAAATTCGAGAAAGAGTTCCACAGATCTCAACAGGGTTCATCATATCAGAGAGAAATCCATCGATCATCTAACACAACTATCCTATGTCAGATCCCCGACGTACAACATAAGTCTCGTATCCGCACAGAACCACCTGCGGGGGAATTACACGTGGAACTTCAATGTTTCAACTCGGTAACGTTGTACTTGGAATACCGATATGTATAAGAAGTGCATAACTCAGGAAGTGCTGGTTTAATTGGCTGATTCCTGAATTACTAGATTCGCATGGTCATGTTTATGCAAGTTTTGCGTGATAAGACATTTGAACATGGAGTACTCCGTACTTTGTCAGCGGCTATCGTACAGCCACTAAAAATACGGTTGGGATCCATCCAGATACTCCGTACGGAGGGGCATCACTAAAATAAAAAAAATTTGCTCCGTATCGAGAGCTTCAGGGTTAGCTCCTAATTCTTCCCCGAGGGGTGATCAGAAGCGCCCGGGGTGTCCGTTCCATCTCCGGGTGACAATGCTGAATTTGTTTCCCCAGCCTCAACTTTCCTTCAGAAGCTCCCATTTTCATCTTTCCCTAACGATTAAAAGTCGTCAGCATCTTCAAGTGCATAACGCAGTCGATCCTTCAATAGTCCGTGCCTTTATCCATTCAGCCCCGGGTGACTAAGCCTCGATTGGCCCTCGCGCTGTAACCCCGACTTCCTCGACACCCTTAACAGGCTGAGATTTCCGATCAAACCTGTTTGTGGCGATTCAATCCTTTTCATCACTTTCAGCGCATTCCTTTCTGTTGTGTCTACGGCCATCCCGACTCTCCTCACTCTCTTATCCGGAATCCGCTATCTTTCAGCCTAATACGTTCCCCGTGGACCTACTCGACCGCGCACGCGCGATCTTATTTAATTTAGAACTTGCCTGCTTGGTGTGAATTGCGTGGATAGTAATTTTGTCCATCGGAGCTTTTCTGGACGTGATCTTGATCTTAATCTGGCGACGAGCGAACCCTCCCTTCCCTTACATACCGAACGCCTTCTACGTCACTCAACATGGCCGAGTAAGTCTCCTCAAAAGGACTTTTTTGGGACTTCAGTTATTGACACTTTAGGTGGGGCAGTTTAATTGCCTTTCATACCACCCATCATAGCTTCTTCTCCCCATCGAAAATGATTCCGCGCAATGCCCATAAGAGGTCGCTCTCCTCTGAACACCGGTCATTATCTCCTGACCGAACTGTCGTCAAAGCGAAATCCACCACCGATCTCTCAGACAGCGCTTTTTCTCATGGAACGCAAAACTCCGGATTCGATGAGAGAAGTTTCAGCACCTTGCAGGACCCGCGATTGATGGTCGGGCCGGAGGTCTCAGAATCAACGTCATCATCTCACCACCCTGATTTGAGCAACGAAGTAGCAGCATTATCCGTGAAATTGATCCAGGCCATCAACAACCAAACAGACCTCGATGATAGCCTGATTGCTACCCGGCAGGAGCTGGAGCTAGCTCAGGGCAAGATCCAAGCTCTGGAGTTCCAAAATGAGAAGTATCGGCGAGACATTGATAACAAAGTTTACATCAAAAAGTTCGACTCTGATCGCGAAATCGCGCTATTACGGGATGCATTAGCGAAAGAAACAATCCAGCGTCTCGCTGCAGAGAAGGGCAGGAAGAACATTGAGCAGGAAGTGGAAACGCTTACTGCGGCTCTCTTTGAAGAAGCGAACAAGGTCGGTAATTTCTTTCGGCATTTGCAGTGTCTAAATCGATTCTAACACTGTTTCAGATGGTGGCTGCTGCTAAGATCGAGCGGGAGGTGGTGGAGAAGAAGAATGAGCAGTTGCGTTCACAAGTCAAAGACACCGAGTTGCTCCTGGCATCACACCAGGACCAGCTTGCCGAGCTCAAGTCCGTCATGCAAGCGATGAACCTTCACAAAGATGATATCGACAGCCGTGCTACTATCACACCACCATCCCCGGATCAGCTCTCACAAGCGCAAGGTTCTAGTCACCACGAGACAGAGCTTGAACCCGTTCCTATATTGATTGACAGCCCCGAGGAGCTCACCCCGGGCTCTTCCTCTAGTTTCCCACAGCACCTTCGTATGGTATGCCGGACGGATCTACAGGCTTATGAGGACTTCCGCGATCTGCTAGCACTCTCTCGGAGCTCTAAACCCCCTAGCCGTGCTGCCAATGGGCCATATGGAGGTCTGAACATGATGAGTCTGGCAAGCTTTGCCAGTGGAGGATCTCCATCGTCGACCTCATCACCCTCTAGAGTGTTTACCCATTCCCCCAATGGGAGCATGTCCTCCACAACGGGATCGAATTTTTCCTTGAAGGAAACTCGCTTCTACAAGCGGGTGCTTATGGAGGATATTGAACCGACATTAAGACTAGATCTAGCGCCGGGGATCTCGTGGTTGACACGGCGTACTGTTCTAAGCGGAATCTGCGAAGGCAGTCTTGTCGTGGAGCCAATGCCCCTTTCAGCCAAGAAATTCGAATTCCCCTGCTCCGTCTGTGGCGAGCGAAGACCCGGTACGCCTAACGAGCGAACCCATCGTTTCCGAACGTCAGATAGTGAGACCGCTCAAAGGTACTCACTTTGTATTCTGTGCTTGGAAAGAGTGCGCTCGTGTTGCGAGTTCACTGGCTACTTGCGTCTCATTCTTGATGGACATCTTCGGGCTGGCGATACCGAAGAAGAAAAGGAAATTTGGGATGAGACTATCCGCCTCCGAGAGAGGATGTTCTGGTCCCGCGTCGGAGGAGGCATTGTTCCATTGTGCAATCGCCCAAGCGAACCAGAGGCGGAGCCAGTCAGCACAGAGTCTATTAATGGCACCGTCGAGGACGACGATGATCGTTATCTCCATCCTGTGGACGTAACTTACCTCGAGTCCAGGATAGAGGAAGTATCAGTGACGGATCAACTAACACCGGAGACGCCAACCACCGCATCCCCTACTGGGCACATAACCCCGCCCGATCTTCCTCTACTTCCAAGTTCTATCTATGACAAGGACGAGGCTGCCTCCTTCAGTGGCTCGGAACGAAAGCGAGTTTCTATCGACTCAGTAGCAAGCGTTTATGAAGAAGCTAGCGCTGACGTGTATGCCAACTCCACGGCGCTTGCTCTTAACGAGCCCTCGATCATTCAGAGTCGAGAGACAGACACAGACACAGACATCGCCCAACCCAGTGCCACAGCACCTGCTCTCAATGAGTCCTCGATCATTCAGAGTCGAGAGACAGACACAAATACAGACACAGATACAGACATCGCACAACCCAATCCAATGGGTTGAGCCACTCTTGACCTCGGTTGATCACAAGCGATCAACACGAGGGAGACGACTACACGTTTTACCCAATATCTAATGATCCGCCTAATGTTCCCCCACCCTTTGCCATTGCATTCTTCAGTCACCTAATCTTTCTTCTTCTTTCTCGTTCGTTGATACAGGCCCGGCCTTTGGAAAAGCTGCGTCTGTTTCCTGCTTCTACCTCTTACCTTTTTAATCACCTATTGGGTACACCTTGATTATGTTCCTCAACGGTTTTAATTTTTTGGATCTTTCTCTTCACCTTCAGCCTTTATCTTCACTTTCGGCAGCATGGCCTCTTGTATTGACATCGACCTTCTCACTTCCAACCATGTATACATATTAATGCGTCCCCCCCCCCCCCTTTGTTTCTTTTCTTCCCCTTGTCCCCCTTTCCCCCCCTTGTCCCTTTTTTTTCCCGTGGACATTTGGACCAGGCGTGGTATTATGGAGCTTCACTGTTTCTGTTCCTTTTGCTTTTTGTTTTCTTCGTTCCCACTTTTGACTCGTGGCAATGCTAGTCTCGGGCCTCATTGGTGGCAGAAGAGCGTGATGAACGATAGATGATCTTGAATCAATTTGCATATATACATAGGCAATACATACTAGTCATTAATGCCTTAAGAATTACCACTGCTACTTCGTACGAGATATAGACATCTTGAAGTAAAGTAAATGGAAAGAAGCATAGGCCAGACAAGATGTTTCGTGAGGTTAGAGTAAAAGAGGGCTATGATACACAAAATAGAAAAAAGAAGCTCATCATCCAGATTTCATCCCTCCCAAACTCCACAAATGGCAGAACAGATACGTTCGACATAGAAAACCCCCGCAAAACCTCAATTTTGGAACGAGAACATCTCGTCTGAACTTCGTGTAGATGGGGGGCGGATATCATTTCTTGGCAAGCTGATGAATGTGTCTGAGCTGGTCTTCGATATTCATGCTCTGAGGGTTGGGATTCTGCACGGCAGGGTTCGGGTGCTGGGGGCCAGCCGAGCCATCGATACCCATAGCCAGTCTCTTGCGGCGAGTTTCCTCCTCCGACTCGAGGGGAGAAGGATCGAAGACGTCGCTACGTTGACTTGCAAGACGCTTGAGGTTGTTGACCACGTCGACGGTAGAGAGGTTGGTGGTGGCACTCCGGGCTTCGGCCTTCGCACGCTGCTCTTTCCAGCGCGGATCGAGCAGCTCGATACGGATGTGCTCATCCAGTTCGTTGGAGGGCACTTTCTGTTTGCAGTAAGGGCAGATCGCCATCTGGGGTTGTAGTCGGCGGGCCTGAGCTCGGGGCACGTAGTCTGAGCGGATGCGCATTGGCTGTTGGCCTGGGCCGGCTTGGGCTGCTGCTTGGGCGGCGGCGACTTGATCGCGAGCTTGGGTCTGCTCGCGGATGCGCTGGTCCTCTTCTGGGTTGGTATACTGGCCTGCTGCGGGGTAGGGGCCTGCTGGGTAGGGCGAGACTGGAGGTTGGGGGGCGTGCATGGGTGCGGGGTGGACTGGGTAGGCGTTGTAGTAGACGGGTTCATCGAGACCGGTCGGCATCGCTTCCTCGATGCGTCGTGTGCTGAGGGAAAGTGCTGCTCTTTGCTCGAGGGAAGCGGACTGCAGATCATTGGCGGAGGTCGGGGGTGGCAAGTCCGCGTGGTCGTCGTGCTCGGTGAACTCGACGGTCTCGACCACGACGAAGTCGTGCCAGTCGATCTGGGCGTATTCAATACGCTCCTGTTCACTTTTCTCTTCCTTCTCTTGCTTCTGTTGCCGTTGGTATTTCACCCATTCCGCCCGCTGCTTGGCACGCTCCATGACGTGGAATTTGTTCTTTGCATTTTGCTCCAATTCTGCAATTCTTCTCTTAGATGAAGTCGCGTCGTCGATTCCCTCCGCGCGAAGCAAGATAGTGTACTGGTCGACCAATCGCGTGAAGAATTGGTAGAGACTATGCTGTGGCCGTAAGAAGTCGAATTGGAAATTTCTGGCCTCGCGCTGCGACAGCGCAGTCATGAATGACTTCCCCCGCTTCGCGACAAATAACGCTGTGTGTTTGACCACGTCCAGATCCTGTGCATTGATAATAGGCATGCGCGCCGAGAAGTGGAACGAAGCCGGTTCAGGTGGCCCCTTGGGCTTTTCGGGTACCGCGGCGGCGGTAGCTTCGCCAGCTCGTCCTGCAGGTCCTGATACTCGGCCTGCTTTGTACTCGGCTGTGTACCATTGATAGTAGGGCTCATAGGCATCTCCAGGGGTTAGGAAGGAAAATTTGTAGTTGTTCTTTTCCTTCTGGCGGATACGGTCTTCGAAAGTACCTTTATGGCGAACGACATAGCTTGCTGTGGTCTCGATGGCTTTTCGGATGTCCTTGGGAGGAAGAACCATGCCCTCCGGAGGCTTTAGAGACCCCTCAGACCCCTCTGGGTGAGGTGTGTTCCCATTTGAAAATTCCATGGTGAATGGTGAGAATATGAAGAAATAAGGTCAAGTTAGTAGGACCGCAGACGATGTAGGACTTGCTGACTGGCGTCACCAGCCACACTATGGCTCACCGCCACAGGAAGTGGCATTACAATGGCGGTGCATCCCGTGCGCGGCCATGTTCCTGTCTTTGCATTCTCCACTGAAATGCAGTCCAGAATAGGGAATGTTTACTTTCTTTTTTCTCTAGATGTAGTCAACTGATTTATAGAGATCAAATCTACACCTACATGCATAATGGTATCAAGAACAGCATAGCTTTTTAACTCTAAATCCAATCACTGTAGTCCGTAAAGACAGTCACATTGCTGGGAGGGGGAGGGGGGCTGAAAACTAAGGGGCTCACATGTTGTCCTCCACAGCCGCCGTTGATCTGGCCTCAAGGCGGAACTGCACGCTTTCGTCCATCTGCGTTCACTTCTGTTCCTGTTTTTCAACACCCTTTTTCTTTCTTACTCTCTCTTCAACAGTCTTTTCTTTTCCTCAATCTCCTCCTTCTTCCCTGTCATGGGGCCTTTTCCCTCATTGTTACACGATCATTAATTGGTGTGGTGCCTGAAGCCATTGAACGGTTGACAGCTTGAGGTGGAAAGCAGCTTTCGACAGCGTCCACTCGTCCATTGAACCTTGGGAAGCCTCTCATTAACGATTAAAACTATTTAACTAAACTGCACGCAACTCTCATATCTTTTCACCTCGACATTCCGACTCTCGCGCCGATCTCCTGAACCGCTGACGTCGTTTCACTCCTGTATCAAAACAATATGGCACAGAAAGCAAAGGACACACTGGCCGTACGGCCGCAGAGCCGGGGTAGGCGCTCGCCTAGTCGGTCTCCCAAACCCAAGAGCCGCAAGCCTTTGCCGGCGCCTCAGACGTATGCCTCGGAAGGTGTGAAGAACAATGATATCTTCAAACTCCCCGGCTCGGACTATAAGCTTATTGTACTGGTGACTCTGATCGCCACGGCTGTTCGCCTATTCAGAATCTATCAGCCTACCAGTGTGGTCTTTGATGAAGTCCAGTACGTTCCCCGCGAAATTTGTGCTACAGATCGAAATCAACACGAAGAGAGACTAATGATTAACATTTGAACAGCTTCGGTGGATTTGCTTCGAAATACATCAAGGGAAAATTCTTCATGGATGTGCACCCCCCGCTAGCTAAATTGCTACTAACGCTGGCTGGCTGGCTTGCTGGATTCGACGGAAACTTCGACTTCAAGGATATTGGCAAGGATTATTTGGAGCCTGGTGTGCCCTATGTGGCAATGCGCATGCTTCCAGCGATCCTGGGTGTTCTGACTGTCCCATTGATGTTTCTCACCCTCAAAGTTACCGGGTGCCAAACCTCGACTTCACTCTTAGGTGCTGGTCTTGTTATCTTTGACAACGCTTTGGTCACTCAGTCCCGTCTGATTCTGCTCGACTCCCCGTTGATTTTCTTTACCGCACTGACGGCTTTAGCCTTCAGTTGCTTCACCAACCAACAAGAGCTGGGACCGGCCTACGCCTTCCGCGGTCTATGGTGGTTCTGGCTAGTGCTTACAGGTCTTTCTCTTGGCGCAACTCTGAGTGTGAAGTGGGTAGGTCTCTTCACTATGGCTTGGGTTGGATCCCTCACGGTTCTCCAGTTGTGGGTACTGTTGGGCGATGCTAAAAATGTCACACCGGTATGCGCTATCAGTATCAGATCAAGACTTGTTTTATGCTAACAGTAGGATTGTTACAGCGTTTATGGCTCAAGCATTTCTTCTCCCGTGTGTTCTGCCTCATTTTTATACCTCTAGGCTTCTACCTTGCGATGTTTGCTATTCACTTTACATGCCTGGTCAACCCCGGAGAGGGTGACGGCTTCATGTCATCGGAATTCCAGGCAACTTTGAACTCAAAGTCTATGCAAGACGTTCCCGCGGATGTCTCATTTGGATCTCGTATCAGCCTCCGCCATCTGAACACGCAGGGCGGTTATCTGCACTCCCACCCTCACATGTATCCCACGGGTAGTAAGCAGCAGCAAATTACGCTCTATCCTCACAAGGATGAAAACAACGTGTTCCTCTTGGAGAACTCTACTCAGCCTCTAGGACCTTATGGAGAGGTCGAGGGTGCATTCGCCTGGGATAACTTAACTGCTCCTGGTTTTATTGAGGATGGTTCGACTATCCGACTTTACCACGTGATCACTCACCGTAGAATTCACTCGCATGATGAACGACCTCCGGTGACCGAGGCTGACTGGCAGTATGAGGTCTCTGCCTACGGATACGAAGGCTTCCCTGGTGATGCTAACGACTTATGGAGGGTTGAGATTGTTAAGTCCATGTCTGAGACCCCGGAGTCTAAGAAGCGCCTGCGGACTATCCAATCCAAGTTCAGGCTGGTGCACGTCATGACTGGGTGCGTCCTGTTTTCTCACAAGGTCAAGCTTCCGGAGTGGGGATGGGAGCAACAGGAAGTGACATGCGCAAAGGGTGGTACCCTTCCAAATAGCGTTTGGTACATCGAGTC